AAAACATCCCCCGGGATTAATGGGGTGCCAGTGGCGCTGCCTCCGACCGTGCCCAGAAATGCAGCGGCCTCCCGGTGCCCGCCGGGGTGCTGCTCCCCACCCCAGCCAGGGCTTTACTCCGAAAATTGCTGACGGGCAGCGGGTAACACTGGATCCGGACTTGCCTTTAGAGAAGGAACGAGCAGATATCGGCAGCTCTGAGTGCAGGACCTCGCGCTGCTCATCGCCAGGACTGTTGAACCACCCTTTGGTAGAAATGCAGCTTTGCTTAATTTTATCTTTTTTTTTTTTGGTGTGTGCTTAATTTATTAAAATAGTTGCTGTATAATTTATTTTCATAAACTATATTAAAAAGTTACTAAATGGTAAAAACAGACTTGCAGGCCAATCTTTCAGAAGAAAAAAAAGAAAATGTTTTTGATATAAACACAACAAATGCACTTTTGGGTGTGTTTGGTTATTTTTGGGGGTGGGGAGGGGGAGCCTGGCTGTACCTGTGGGTTTGTCTGTATATATTGTATTAATAGGCATGTTTGGCCTCTCGTGTGGAGACGTTAGTAACTGCTGCAGGTCCTGTTGGGGAAGCTGGCGTGAAGTTCCTGGGTTTTTGGGGTTTTTTTTGTAAGTCGTCAGTGAGAGAGAGCTGACTTCTGTGTTTGTAACTCATTTCTATCGTCGTTTTGACTGATGTTTTGGTTTGGTTTTTTTTTTTTGTTGGGGGGGTGGGAAGGGAAGAGAGCGGGGGTTCGAAATAAAATAATTGGAAATTGTTTTATGTGCTGTGTGTTGTCTTGAGTCCCGAGCCACAGACTCCACGCCCCGGCCTCCCCTTTGCCCCCCGCTTGTAGCACCCCTGTGGGGTGGGATGGGGACCCCAAGGGATGGAGATGTGCCTGGGTCCAGCTCCTGCTCCCCAACTTCACCTTGTCCCCCTTCCCAGCTGCGGGAGCCACATGCGGGGATCCCCCCGCCCCCTCCCTGTGCTAAGGTGCTTTGAAGGCCCCCGAGTTTGGCAGATCAAAGGCTGCGGAGTGACAGAATGGTGCTGAGGCGGGTGGCACGCGGCCCCCCCCGCTGCTCTGTGTGTGTGTGTGGGGGTTTTCACAGCCCTGGGGAGACTGCATTCCACGCGGCCCCCCCGGCTGCTCTGTGTGCGTGTGGGGGGGGTTTCACAGCCCTGGGGAGACTGCATTCCCCCCCCTTCTCCTCCTCCATCACTGGGCGTGGGGCAGCAAGGGGGTGTTGGGGTGCAGCAGGTCTGGGGGCCCCCATTCCTCTCGCTGCGCTCCTGGCCCTGGTGGTGGTGGTGCAGGGGTTGCCCCGCTCTCTGCCCCAGCGCCCCAGCCATGGGCACGGTCCCCGGGACGGGGCTCTGCGCGGGGACACAGGCTCCATTGACGGGGCCAGACGGCCTCTCCAGGCGGGATCCGACATCTGGGGCCTCCTTGTGAATTTTTTCTTGGCTGGTCCGGGGCACG